GGTTTAGGTGCCAAGGTTTAGGGTTTAAGGGTTCAGGGTCCTTGGCGGTGTCTGTTTAGGGTTTTAGATTCCAGGCTTCAGGGTATGCAGCAAATAAGCAAAAGAATGACCGAGGTGATATCATATATGGATCCCCGTAGCTCTCTCTCTATATCCCCAATAAGCTTGTAGCTTCCATACTCTTTTGCATGTCCGCGTTCCTTGCTACCTAGAGATTGGATACTGCCCCCACTCAGTGACGGCTGGATATCAGTTTTAAAACGATTACAGATAGGCGTTGACATGGCCGCTATCATTGACTGTTGCCGGGTGGGGGCAGTACCCAGCCTAACCCCAAAACCCTAGAACCCGAAAACCGTACAACCCCAAGGCCCAAACCCCTTTCAAAACCCTCAACCCTAAACCCTTAAACCCTCAACCGTGAGCAGTAGCTGTGAGTAGCTCTACTGGGAGGTGAGATCTTGCGACCTTGGCGTGTGCAGGTGGAATCCGGCGGCAGAGGCTCAGGCTATCCAACGCGCCGGGCTCAGCCGAAACGAAAATGGTTCAGGGTTTAGGTCGCTCAAGTTGTACTCTTTAACCAGGTTAGTGAGCGTGTTGCTCGAAAGTTGGAGGGGCTGTCATGAGTATAGCTGCGCCGATCACGAGCACTTCCAGGCGTCGTCGATGCAAGCCTGTTGCAAAAAAAAAGGTCGCTCAAGTTCGGGTTGAAAAGGGTTTAGATTTTAGTGCGTACTGTAGGAGCCTAGATAATTACCAATTTTTGGGTCCGTACCCTCAGCCCTAAAATCTAATGATGGTATAGGATACCTCAAACAGACCGTGAATTGATGTTGGTGAGTATCTAGGCCGCTACAGTAGGCTTCGAAGTTGGTCAAAGGCCAAAGATGCCGCATTGCCCACACCCACAGCTCAAAAAAGATTATTAATGATTCTCTATGTATGGATAGGAATGTTGTGGGGTATATGTTGAGGTTATAGTAGGGAATAGGGGATTATACTATATAAGGGGTATAGTTTTTTGCTTTTTGAAAAACTTCGCCCATGAAAATGAAGCCTGCTACACTCCGGCTTCACTATATTCAAAGCTAGCTTTGCTGCAGGGTTGTGACCGGGACACCGGGCCTAAGGTACCACGCGGTGTGAGTTTTGTAGCGCCAGGGCTAGCTCAAGCAAATGAACTCTTCAATTTTTTGGAAACCTCCCAGTATTAGGACCCTAACAAGGGTAGATTAAGGTACCCTTAAGGTTTCATAGCCCATCCTGGTCTCCGCCCAACTGTGAGGCGCGCACCGCATCGGTCAAACCCGTCCGGTGAAGGCGACCCGCTTCGTAGCGGCCCCTCGCTCGGTAGAAGCCCAGATGCCTTCCACTTGCATTGATAGCGCTGTTATTATTACTAGAGTTTAGGGTTTAGGGTGGGTTTAGGGTTTAGGGTTTACTAGTGTAACATAACAGTGCAACTATTATCAGCAGCCCTCTACTTACTACTAGTAATGTGATACCTCTACGGGAAACTGGGACTGCACAATGGGTGATAGGGATTAGGGGTATCACTGTTGCTGCTACCAACTACTAGTTTTCCTATCATTAAGATAATTCTCATTATTACTGCATATGTAAATGTGTGTGTGCATATATGTATAATTTGTGTGTACACATGTACTCTGGAGTGCCACTAAAATGGCAGCGTGTATTTCCAGAGAGGAGGATCGCACACCCACGAGGTGCTCCATGAAGTAGGTAAGGAAAAGCCCCAGAGCCCAAGTTACAACCAGATTGTATCCTATAATCCCTTGAGACCCTACAGCCTATAGCCCCCCTTAAGTAGATGGAATGTGGGGTTTATGGGGGGTCTTATTATACTATATTCCAAGCCATATTAAACCTACTTAAGGGGGACTTATAATCCCTAAACCCTAGACGCTAAACCCTAAATAGTACTTTCCATTTTCTTTTCCATTATCCCTATATAACTCCAATATAACCCTTATATTCTATCTACTTAAGTAGAAGACAACCTACCTGGCCTGAGGCCAACACAATCGAGGAAAAGATCATTGAATTGCAGGAGAAGAAGCAGACGGTTTTCGATTGCACTGTCGGCAACTCCAATCAGGCGATTGAGCGGGGCAGAACCCAACAGTAGTTTCCTAACATTAGGGATGCTTTTCTGGAGGTCTGCGTAATAAGGATCATCGTATTTTGGGGTCTATATTGGGGCCTCCCTATTTAGGGGAAACTACCATACAGCAACAGACAGACTGCGATCCTTGTCTATTCGCCCAAAATTTATCGTATGATGCTGAATCCCTCTTCATGCTTAAGCCATCTTTCCCCCCCAGACCCTAACCTTCTGCCCAATACATTACAAAAAACACAAAAACGAAACCCTGAAACCACTTAAACCCGATCCCCTGAACCCTTAAAAAGACTGTATTATTTTAAGATCCCCATATACCCCATATTCTATCTACTTAAGGGGGACGATGACCCCAATATGTACCCTACTATAATATAGTTGTTTGCATTTTCTTTTCCATTATCCCCATGCAACCGCTATAAAGCCCTGTATTCATCTACTTAAGGGGGACTATAAACCCTAAACCCTAAACAAACCTTTTTATTTGGCCAGGCTTTGCAGCGACTCAGTGCCGAGGACATCCAGTTCCTCTTCAGCGGATCCGTCGGGTTTGTTAAAGGGTTTAAGGTTTAGGGTTTAGGATTTAGGGTTTACGGTTTAGGATTTAGGGTTTAGGGTTTAGGGCTGTTACTCTGGGGACGGCGCGTTGAAGGTTGCTTGCGCTACCCAGACTACCTACCTTATTTATGGTAGTTGGGGTAGTTTGGAAAAGGTCATGCAGGATTTGTTCTGTAGACAACCTTGGTTCCGCATGATTTAGATGCCGGGGATCTGGCTGCGCAGATGAGCAGCTTCGTTTTGCTCTGTTGGCCAGGTAGCTGAACATGAGGTTTTCCGTCCGGTGGAGACGTGCCCGGCGTGTGGCGCATCTGTTAATGAGTCATTTGTGTACTGCCCCCACTCAGTAACAGCTGGATAATATCTATAATCTGATATATAGTCCTTAACATGACCCTCATTATGGACTGTGCATGGGTGGGGGCAGGATCCAATGAGTCATAGTTAATGCTTGCCAAGTGCAGTCGTATCGCGCTTGGCTTGGCCCTCTTAGCGAAGGTTTCTGGGGTTCAGACTTGTGCTTGGCCGCTGTCCTAGCAACCTGCGGAAGAAGCAGCTCAGCAGTAAGCTGGCCTTTGGTTAGCTGGGAATCAAAAGAAATGGAAACTACTACAATGGGCTATATAGGGACTTCTATGAGGATGCATGCCTTCATTCCTAGCTGAGCAAGGGTAAGAGAAGGTAGGTAGGACACATTTTGCGCAGCGGTAGGTGATGCCTGCACCCTCAGTTGCAGTGGTGGTGCGTGGCTACGCCCGTCGCACAGTCCCGTCATGCACGGGAGCATTGTGACCATGGAGCTACCACAGTCCCAGCATCAACCATAAGCAGGAGCCTGCAGCAACCACTGATCCCAGAAATTCACTGAAGCTTCATGGTCTGAGACGCCATGGGGGAGAGCAGTGGGGCGGTGGGCAGAAATGCTTATCACTGGCCCTTACTGTTGTGTGACATGCGAAAACCATATCCCAGAGCGCCAAAAAGTGTGCAGTCACTTGCCTTGCTTGCTAAGCGCCACCGCGGAGTGGAATCTTGTTGCCATTCTTTCGTTGTTTGTTCTTATGAAAGTTCTTATCCTCTTTGCAATTACAGCAGGTACCGCTCTTACTACCATCGCTACCTGCACTGTTCTCTTAATGTTACCGTGACATTAATGAACCCCCCCCAGAACTTGTTTTGC